CTGTCATATATTTGGTTGACACTGAAAACTTTCAACACACACCATATGAACAAGAGCCAAGGTAATGAAGGAAGAAGTTCAAGCTGCATTGGAGACATTGGTAAGAAAAAATAACATCCCAGGAATTTATGGAACACTAATTGACATGGTTCAACTGATGCAGCCATGGATGTGCTTACCAGTTTATGCCAAGAAATTTGGAGGACAGCTTCCTGGACAATTGACTAGAAGAGATCCATATTTGCTCCCATTCCCAAGGAAAGTGATAAAACAGAATGTGGAAATTATTAGACAATATCATTACTATCACAAGCAAGCAAGATATTACTGAAGGTCATTCAAAACCAGAGAGAGAACTGCCAGATGATCAGGATGCTTTATTGAGAAGAGGCCGTGGCACTTGAGATATCATAGTTGATGTCAGAGGGGTCTTGGCTGAACACAGAGAATACAAGTGAATTTTATTAATTATGCAAAAACATTTGACTATGTGGATCATAACAAATCACGGCTAACACTGAGAAGAATATGAATCCCAAAACACTTATTTGTGCTCTTGTGAAAGCTACCTAGACCAAGAAGCTGTTTTATGAACAGAGCAATGGAACACTACATGGTTTAAAATCAGGAAAGGGGTTGCCTCGGGCTTACATCCTTTCTCCATATCTATAAAATATGTATGCTGAGAAAAAATTTTTTTAAAAAAAAAAATTACTTTAAGTGGAGCTCTGGTGGCCTAGTGGCAAGGAGCTGCAACTACAATAGCAGAGGCTCACGGTTCGAATCCACCAGATGCTCGGCCGGGGAAGGAGGGACAATCTCCTCCTGTACCAGTCAGATCTGATTTGACTCACACAAAAATAATAAAATAAAAATTTAAAAAAAATTACTTTAGAAACTAGACTCTATGAAAAGAAATGCGGGATCAGGATCAGAGGAAGACTCATTAACAACCTGTGTTATGCAGATGACACAATCTTGCTTGGTGAAAATGAGGAGGACTTGAAATGCTTGCTGTAGAAGACCAAAGACTATAGCTTTCAATATGGATTACACCTTAACATCAAAAATCTTCACCACTGGACAGGTAAGCAAGATCATGATAGTTGGAGAAAAGATTGAGATTGCCAACGACTTTATTTTACTGGTATACCCAATCAGCACCCTTAATATCAGCAGCCTGGAGATCAGGAACTGTACTGTACTGGACAAATCTACTGTCAGAGACCTCTCCAAATTACTTAGGAACAATGATGTTGGTTTGAAAACTAAAGTGCATCTGGTTCAGGCCGTGGTCTTTTCAATCATTTGCTATGCATCTGAAAGCTGGGCAATGAATAAAGATGACTGAAGAAGACTTATGTCTTTGAGTGGTGGTGTTGGAGAAGAGGGCTGAAGACCCCACGGACTGCAAACAAACAGATTTGACTTGGAGAAAGTGCGCCCTGGCGCTGGGCGTGGTGGTGGCCGCCTGTTGTCCCAGCTACTCAGGAGGCTGCGGCTGGAGGATCTCTTGAGTCCGGGAGTTCTGGGCTGTAGTGCGCATGCCGATCAGGTGTCCGCACTAGGTTCGGTATCAGTATGGTGACCTCCTGGGAGCAGGGGACTACCAGGTTGCCTAAGGAGGGGTGAACCAGCTCAGGTCGGAAACGGAGCAGTGCAAAACTCTCGTGATGATCAGGCGCTCCTTGGCTGCAAGGATGACAAAGCTTCATCTTACATAATTTAGACATATTTCTAGAAGAGGCTATTGCTTGAAGAAGAACATCATGCTTGGAAAGGAGGAGGGCCAGCGAAAGAGAGGAAGATTTTCAACCAGACGGATTGACACATTGACTGCAGCAATGGGTTCAAGTGATTCAGAGATTGTGAGGTGGGCACAGTATAAAACAAGGTTCAGTTCTGTTGTTCATAGAATTGCTATTGAGTTGTACTTGATTCGATGGCACCTAACAACAGCAACAACAATAACAATGAGATCTTTAGGAAGGACAGTTAATTCTAGAACTGATAAAAGAAGGTGTAAGCATATACAGACACATGACAAACCTCATGATAAAATCTTTGTATTGTTTTTTTAAAAACTTTTTTCTTATTATTAATTTTAATGACAATTTAGAGACTTTGGATTTCCATTCATTCATTGTTGCACTTTTCTCCCTGCCTACCCCTCACCCCAAGGACACTCTTCTCTTTGAAAAGTAAAAGAAAAATTCTTTCATTGTTTTACAATCCCTCCCCCCAGGTCCACTCCACTATGTAGCCTTCACTCTGGACTCCTGTCATGACAAAAATACCTACTCACATATCCCTTTTAAACAGTTTTCTCCCTCATCTGTTTCAATGCAGTAGACATTATTAAATCCATCTTTCTCAGTCTCCCCTCAACCACAAAGTCAGTCCTGTTTTACAACAGTGGCACTATGCAATATTTGACCCTTTGTGACTGAGATATTTCACTCAGCATAATGTCCTCCATGGTCACACATTTTGAATAATATTGCATGAGTTTCTTGTTTTTTAATGCAGCGTAGTATTCCATTGTGTGAATATACCACAGCTTCTCTACCCATTCATTTGTTGATGGGCACTTAGGTTGTTTCCAACTCTTGGCTACTGTGAACAAAGCCGTGATCAACATGGGCGTGCATATATCTGCTTGGGTGTCAGTTATGGGCTCTTTGGGGTATATTCCCAGGAGTGGAATTGCTGGGTCAAATGGTATCTCTATTTGCAACTTTTTGAGAAAGCGCCACACTGCCTTCCACAGTGGTTGCACCAAAATCTTTGGCTTGTTATTGATAGAAGTTAGTGGAGATCAGATGCTTCTGCTTCCATGCCAGCCACACCATTTTTACGTGTGACTTCCAAGGTGGCTTAATATTGGACTCTGAGTATTCTGTCATCAATGAGAGAAAGAGGGACATAGAAGGCAAGGAAGGGAAAGTGATTTCAAATGAAAGCCTTTATTTAGTTCTCCTTTGGTTCAAAGACACAACTGAATACGGAATTCAGAATGTCATATATTTTATTTCCTTACATGGATGTAAACATTTGCCTTCAGGCTGAAGTGGTTTTGGTTTTTTTTTTTTTTTTTTAATTTTATTGTATTATTTTTACGTGTACCGTCAAATCAGATCTGACTGGTACAGGAAGGCTGAAGCTTTTTTAAGGTTCAACTTTATTTTTTTTTAATTTCTTCAATTTTATTCTTGAGTTTGCAATAATTCAAAGATGACAAAAACCCACTATAAATGGGTATGCTATACCACAGATATGATAAGGCAAAGAAATAAAATTATTTAAAGATTAAAATAAAACCAAAGACTCCATTTGGTATTCACTGATAGTCTATGCTGTAAATTAATAATCGCCAGACAACAAATGGTGTCTCCATAATAAACGGAAAGTTTCAGATCCTGTTCTGTTAACCTCTAAGTTACTGAGAAGTGCTTACTTCTCTACAACAGGATGATATTTCTCAATTCTTGAAAACTGTAACCTCCCTCCCCCTGTACCAGTCCCTGGACCTTCTAGACATTTCTGGTTTTCAAAGATTACACAAAGACCTTGTTTTGCCAGTAAGACAGTGTTCACATTTTCCCTGAAGCATCTTCCGTTTCCTCTGCATGATAGCCTTTCAAATCCTCTGAGTAATGTAAATTAAGGAACTTCTATATAGTCTTGGAACTTTTTTCCAAGTTTGCCATATTTGTGTCTTACAGAATGGCTGTTGCTACAGACCCCTAAGCTGGTGTTTCAGGAGGGGGACCCCATTGCGCTGAGATGCCACAGCTGGAGGGATAAGTGTCTGTACAAGGTCACGTTCTTCCAGAATGGAAAGTCCACGAGTTATTCTAATACAAATTCTAACTTCTACATCCCACAAGCAAACCACAGCCACAGTGGAGATTATCACTGCACAGGTTATCTAGGAAATCTGCTTCACCAGTCACACACTGTGACCATCACTGTCCAAGGTGAGAACCAGGGGTTCCCTGCAGAGGAGCTGGGAATCTTGGTTTAAAGAGCTTCAGGCCTTGCAATGAGAAGTTGAGGAGTAGAAAAGAAGCTACAGATCTTTTTTCAGACTTCACTACTTGTATTCTTCTGAGTGGCCTTTTTCACAGCGGGAACCCTAAAAGTCCTAGTTTTTTACTAGATTCTTGTGTGGATGTGCACCTCTGTTCCAATGCATTCCTCAGAGGTTATAGAAATGGATGCAATTCACTTAGAACTGTTAACACTCAAGGAATAGAAACTACATTTTCCTCCACACAAGTACATCTACCAGACACAATCACCTTCCTTTCCCTTCACCTCATTCTACTTTGTCATACACCCCTCTATCTCCTACAATTCTGAGACTTGTACCTCCCTAGTGACCATTTCAGCCTAGGCCCACATATTAGCTCATTCAAGGAAGCCCTCTTTCTCCAGTGTCCATAGGGTTTTCAAAGGCCTATTATTTAGAAAATAGATGGCCCATCCTGTTTTCTAGTCTGTCTTAATCAGTTTGTCATCACCAAAACTTGTCAGCCATGGGTAACCCTTATGGCATTTGATACACCAGTAGCACAGATTTCAGTATCACAGCAACCCTAAGTTTGACTCTGTGGATCATAATAAGTTTTGGCTGACATTGAGTAGAATCGAAATCCCAGAGTACTTGATTGTGCTCATGTGGAACCTATATCTGGACCAGTAGGCTGTTGTGAGAACAAAGCAGGGGAACACTGCATGGTCTAAAACTGAGAAGAGTGTGCTACAAGGTTGTATTCTCTCTCCATATCTATTCAATCTGTTTGCTGAGCAAATTATCTGAAAAGCTGGACTCTATGAGGAGGAGTGTGGCATCAGGATTGGAGGGAGACTCATCAATAACCTGCGTTTTATGCAGATGACACAACCTTGCTTGCTGAAAATGAGGAGGACTTGAAGTACTTGTTGTAGAAGATCAAGGAATGCAGACTTTGGTGTAGATTGCATCTCAATTTCAAGAAAACAAAGATTCTTACCAATGGACCAATAGGCAGCATCATGATGGATGGGTAGGAGATTGAAACTGCCAACAGCTTCATCTTTTTTGGATCTATGAATAAAACCCTTGGTACCAGCAGTCAAGAAATAAGGAGATGCATTGCACTGGGAAAATCTGAAGTTAGGGGGAAATCTGAAGTTAGGGACCTTTCCAAATTATTGAGGAGTAATGACGTCAGTTTGGTGTTTTGTGGGGTTTTTGTTTTGTTTTATTTTTAAATTATATCAGTTTAAGGACTAAGGTGAATCTGAGAGCTGGACAATGAATAAGGATGACAGGAGAAGAACTGACGGCTTTGAGCTGTGATGTTGAAGAAGAGCACTGAACATCCCATGAATGACAAAGAGAACAAACAGGTATGTCTTGGAAAGGGTGTAGTTGGTGTGCTCTTTGGAGGCAAGAATGATGAGGCATTGCCTCACATACTTTGAGCATGTTGCTAGGAGAAGGACATAATGGTGGAAAGGGTGGAGGGTCAGCAAAGAAGAGGAAGACTCTCAACCAGGTGGATCGAAACAGTGGCTGCTGCAATAGGGTCTTGTGTATCAGGAAGTGTGAGGATGGCACAGGATAGAACAGAGTTCATATCTTTTGTTCATAGGGTTACTATGAATCATACTCTACTCGATGGCATCTAACAACAACCAATCAATGAGGAAGCCCTATGAGTATGAGAATCTCTTCTTACCTACAAAGAATCAGGTGTGCCTGTTCTTGAAAAACTACACCCTGGAATCACTTACAGGAAGCCCCACAAGTCTCCTCTGTAAAGGCATTTATGTGGATCACAACGAACTATTGCTAACATGGAGAAGAATGGGAATCCCAAAACCCTCAAGTGTGCTCATGTGAACAGAGCAAGAGAACACATATGGTTTAAAATGAATAAAGATGTTGCATCAGGGTTATGTTCTTACTCCATACCTATTCAACCTGTGTGCTTAGAAAATTATTCAAGAAGCTGGACTCTGAAGAAGAATGTGGCATCAGGATCAGAGGAAGATTCATCAATAACCTGCGTTATGCAGCTGTCACAACCTTGCTTGCTGAAAGGAGGAGGACTTGAAATGCTTGCTGCAGAAGATCAAAGAATACCCCTTTCAATATGGATTGCATCATAATGTCAAGAAAACAAAAATTCTCACCACTGGACCAATAGACAACATCATGATAGTTGGAGAAAAGATTGAAACTGTTAATAATTTCATCTTACTTGGATCTGCAATCAACACCTTTGGTATCAGCTGTCAGGAGAACAGGAGACACACTGCACTGGGAAAGTCTGCAGGTAGGGTCCTTTCCAAATTATTGAAAAGCAATGATCTCAGTTTGAGGGCTAAGGTGTATCTGATTCAAGTCACGGTCTTTCTGATCACTTACTATGCATTTGATAGCTGAACAACGAATAAGGATTACTGAAGGATGAGACTTTGATCTGTGGTATTGAAGAAGAGTACTGAATATCCCATAAATTACTAGAAGAACAAACAGGTATGTTTTGGAGAAGGTGCAGCCAGAGTGCTCCTTAGAGGCAGAGGTGATAAAGTTCTGCCTCACATACTTTGGGCATGTTGCTAGGAGAGGCTATTCTTTGGAGTAGGACATCATGCTTGGAAAGGTGAAGGGTTAGCAAAAGAGAGGAAGACCTTCAGCCAGATAGATCGTCACAATCAATGACTGCAGCAATGGGCTCGAGTGTTTCAGAGACTGTGAGGTTGGCACAGAATAGGACAGGGTTCAGATTTGTTGTTCATAATGTTACTGTGATTCATGCTAGACTTGATGACACTTAACAACAACCACAAGCCTATTTCAGAGTAATGTTGGTCAATGAACACCACCATTTTCCTAGGTTCAGAAAAGATGAGCTAAAGATCTATGTTGTTGTACTTATAACTTGTTAGTCAAATTTGTGTCTTCTAGGTTGCAACACCCCCATGATACATCTTCAAGGATATAAACATGTATGGCCAAGCACAATCAATAAGAGTGCATCTAAATTCCAAAATCAATCTCCATAATAGTCTATGTGTTTCCTACTGCCAAAGGGGCCCTTTAGAGTAGTGAGGGAAGATCTTCACCCTGAAACCCACAGCGTCCCTTTTCAGCAGGAAGTAGCTAAGAGAATAAGCCATCCCCTTTTCCTTATGACTCAGGGTGAAGTCTCTCTCAGGGAGGAGTGATAGGGAATGGCAAAGGACACACTGACAAAGAAGATTAATCAGAACTGGCTTTGACAAGCACTGTGGCATTTGGACAAGAACAAACTGGGAGGAGGGTAGAGAGAATAGTGCAACAATGAATGAATGTAAACCCAAAATCTCTGTAAATGTTTATGAAAATTAATAAAACATAGAAAAAAAAGAAGGAAAAAAAATATCTATGTTGTAATATATAGATTCCCTAGATCAATGTTTTAGAAAAGTTGTTTCCCAGTCACATGACTCCTTAAGAGTTTTTTCAGAGTGAAGGATTCTCTGGTTAGATTAATATGGAGCATGTGGTATAGCCTGTCTTCCACCTGATAGATTGACAATGCACATCAAAGCCTTCAAGGAGCCTTGTTGAAAAGAAAATTTATACTCCCATAATATCATAATTCCTTTTACCCTTATGTCTCAGAATAAATGTACTAAGGTCACCCTTTGGAAATACTAACCTAATGTTTAATCTTCTTGTTGTTGTTGTTGTTATGTACCGTTGACTCACAACCAACTTATAGCTGACCCTGTAAATCTCACGAGAGAAGATTGTCCGTCTTTCTCCTGCAGAGCAGCTGGTAGATTTGAACTGTGTGCCTTTCAGCTGTCAGGAAGGTAGGGAGCCTCTGGAGACTTCTTTGTCTTCCCATCTGCTTTGGGAAAGGACTTTATATTCTGGCTTAGATGACTTCACAATGTCTCCCTACAGGAGACCTCACTGTTTATTTCCAATTTCTATGCTAATATTCTCATTTTTCACCCCCATCCCTCTGCCTCTCTTACTAGGTTCAACAATACCATCCATGCCACCACTCTTTCTATCTTGGTATCAAGTCACTTTCTTCCTGGTGATGGGACTGCTGTTTACAGTGGACACGGGTCTGTATCTCTTTCTGCAGAGAGAACTTCAAAGCTCAAAGGGCAACTGGAAGAACCGCAAGGCCAGATGGAACCAGGGTCCTCAAGATAAATGACTCATGGTCTTGGTTTTCTAGTGCTATTATCACAGTAGGCTGCTTTAACAAACAAATTTATTCTCTCACAGTTTAAGAAGCTAGATGTCTGAATTCACGGTGCTAGTTTTAAGGGAAGACTTTGTCTTTCATTCGAGAGGAGAACCCTTGTTTTCTTCAGTATGTGCAGGCCTACCATTATTTGGAACGCTCTATATGTCTTGACTTTCTCCTGTGTCAAGGAGTTTCTCAGCAGACGGCCCTGGGTCCAAAGGATGCACTCTTCCAATAATTCTGTCTTGCAGTCTCCCTTCTCTATGGCTTTCTTGCCTTTTTCTCTTCTTGTAAGAGAAAAGATATTTCAGGCCACTTTCCAGGAAAAGCTCCCTTTCCATTAATGGCAATGTGCTTAAAGGTGGCATCCTTTAAAAAGTCCTGGTGGGGAAGATGTAGGATAAAATGAAAAAAAAAAAAATACAAAAAGTCAAGTTAACTGGTTCTTAATCACCCATCGAATCTGGAACAGAACTCACCCTTCTGGCTCAACTTCAAGCCAAATAACACATGGGCCTGTAAGGTGACCAATAACACCAGGAAGACACACACTCCTTAAAATAATAAAGCATTTGGCCAAGGATAAGACTCAGAAGGCAGGAAAGGGTAGCTGGAAGAATTAATGGAAATGAGAATTACAGGAAGGAGGAAATAGGTAAAGTGTGATTGCATTGTAGGTATAGTAATTAAGGTTAAAACACAAAATGTGTATGGATGACTGAATGAAGAACCAATCTGCTTTGTAAACTTTCACTCAAATTACCCACTCACATAGACACACAGCCCTGATGTCACAGTGTGTAGTGTAAGAGGCTGCTTCCTTTTCCATCAGCTGCTCCATGGGAGAAAGATGGAAAGTCTCCTCTCATATTCTACAACATGAGTCAGCCCTGACTCCGTGACACTGGTTTGGTTTTGGTTTTATTCCATCCTAAGTCCTTTTACAACTTTTTGGGTTATCAGAATCTGGGACATTATTGCATGACTTTTATGTTACATCATTGTGATTGACACCTCTAGGAACAGTAGGTCTGAACCTTGTCCTATCCTGTGGGTCTGTGATTGTTACTTCATTACAAAATGTATTGTTGGAGGACACAATTCAATTCAATCCATGACACTCTCTGATCCTGTGAGGTAATGGTGATGACTACAACTCTTCAAACTGTATTTTTTGCTCTTCTTACAGTCTCTCCTGACAAGGAGCGGCAACAACGATATAATCCCAAACACACTGCCATTGAATTGAGTCAATTCAGACTCATAGTGACCCTCTATTGGTCTTTGCAGGCAGTAAATCTTTAAGGGAGGAGAGAGCATTTCTTTCTCTCATGAAGTGACTTGTGGATTCAAACCACCAATGTTTCTCTTAGCAGCCTAACATATTACCGACTAGACCAGCAAGCCCTCTTCCAGGGAAAGGAGGGCCTTTGATCTTTGGAACCAAATCCCAGCAGGCTCCACTCTCCCCCCTGAACTCTGAAGGTCAAGTGACCTCTGCACAGTCATAGCTGCTCAGTTCAAAAAGACTCACAGCAAACCTATTTACACAGAGTCTGGGTAGAGGCTCCTCAACTATATGAAACCTTGCTATAAATCCTCCTTGTAACTCTAAAACACATCTAGCAATCTGACCATTTGTAAGAATTCTACTATTACCACTACCACCTTGATCTGAGTCGCTATTATCTCTCACCTGCTTCATTAGCAGGATCCTTCTAACTAATCTCTCTACATTCACCCTTGCTACTTTATTCTCCTTATCCTGATACAATAGCCAGAGCAAACTTTTAAAAAATGTGTGCCACATCTTCCACACCTTTGCTTAATACAAAGTAATATTTTCCTATTTCACTTAAACACTAAAGCCTTGGGAACATGCTACTAGGTGCTACTTGGCCTTGTTTCTTACTGTGTCTCTGACTTCACCTTTTACTGCTCTTTGCTTACTTTTGCTCTTTCTGGAACATACCAAGTATACTTCTGCACAGGGTCTATATTACTCCATGTTTCCTGCTTCATCACATCCATTAAGTTTTTACTCAAATGTTATTTTATTACAAGGCTTTCTTGGCCAGAAATATAATTCCTTTTCTTCCCATGCTCGATTCTTCTTTCTTAACTTTTTCCCCCCTCCTTTGTACTTATCATCAACTGGTGTATTACATGTTTACTTGTTCAATTGCTTATATCTGGCTCATCCTTTCTTAATAGAATAGGAACTCCATGAGAACAAGATCTTTCTTAGTTCACTACCATATAATTAGAGCTTGAGTCAGTGTCTAGAAAATGGCAAAGTGTTCAATAAATATTTGTGGAATGAGTAAACTATTAGCATTTGAAACCAGAGCTGGAAATTCCTTAGAAACAATGTAGTCCCATCTCTTCATTTTATAATTGAGAAAGCTGTAGCCCACGTGTGAAATGACTTCTTCAAGGGCATATAGATAGTTGGTGCTACACATCATATATGTACTATTTAGGATCATACTACACATTTGTCCTATGACCTGCTTTTTTTTTCAGTCTCAAAATTGGACAATGAGCATCTCTCTTCATTCCACAATGTCTAAGTCATTATGTTAATGTCTGCTGTACTTTTAAAGATTTTCAAACCAACTTATTAAATATAAATGGTTCTATTTAAATGCATGTGTGAAATTTACCTTACATAGACAAGCTTTCCTATGCTTAAAGCACCATACACAAGCTTAAAGTTCCTTGAGTAGATAAAAAAAAATGAATGATTCGTTGGAAGCATACCTGTGTAATGCTGAGGTTAACATTCAAGCACAGAGGTGCCTGCTTTAAGGCTATACTTGAGACTCTTCAGGAGAAGGTAGATAAGATTTTAATAGTGCCTAAACTGCAGCAATGGCCTCAAGTGTGTCAGAGATGAAGCTGGTCCCAAGAAAGGAACAGGCCTTTATTGCGTATTCTGAGGGATGTTAAAAATGACCATGCACAGACAAGGTCAAAATGGCATGAGGGCAGTCAAGGGTGGTTTCTTTTTATAGGAGTTTTAGAGAGGACTAGGAAAGATGGTATTTTGCTTGGTCTCTGGTCTGGTCTCTGCTCTGGTCTTCTCAGACATCATCAGGCCTCCTCAAGGAGTCATCAGGCCTGGAGACAACTGTGACATTCTTCCTCCAGATACATCTCCAGGTCTTCAAGACCCCAGGCTAGGCTACTTTTATCTTTGTGACTTGAGAACCTTTTTTGGTCAGATCACTGGCTAGATAATATCCCTGACTCAGACATCAAGACTTGGCCATTCTAGACAACATATTCTCTTAGGCCTGTGGAGGGAGAGTAAATGAATTTCAAGTTGGCAGCTTTTCTACCTCCTGGAGTTATAAAATACATTTTTTTTTAAAAAAAGATCTTTTGATTTTTTTTTTCCTTGAAGAAGGCATTCATTTCTTACTCCCTTCTCCACCCCTTAATCCTCACCCCTGGTCTAATTACCTTCCCAGTACACCTAATATTTCTAGCAGAAAACCTTTCCACACACATTGGTAGAGGGTTGACCAGGAAACCTTGTGTAGAAACCCAACCAGCCTCTACATTTTAACTTCCGAAGCTTATCAATGAGTTCTCACCTACCCGAAAGAAAAAGAACCACTGACGGAGTGAGGAATTTAAACTTCTCTTTTTAAAAGTTAGCGGTTTCCTTTGAAACTGGCAAATACTAACATATTGAATAAAGATCAGCTTTGCGGCTTCTAGATCTATTGCTAAAGCAGACATTAGAATATTCCCTGTTCATTAGTGTTGCTATCCTCATTAGTCATGAGCATTCCTGACCATCCTGTGGGAGATCTACCAGGAAGTTAAAAAAAGGTTGGGTCGTTCCCCACCCACCCCCCACCT